TAGTGGTTTGGCAGGTTTGCAGTGGAGGCCTCCAACAAACTCAACATTCGGTAAGAGTGGGCGAGGAAATTCAAAGTCCCAGTAGGTTCGAATGAGCCACATCTCAGCTTTCCCCATCATCTCATATAAAGTCGTGGGTCTTCCTGATAAAGAAACCAAAGGGATAAAAGAAACCAAATGTAGATGATGCAAGAGGGTTGTTGTGAGATTATAAAAGTAATTTTCTGAAAGAAATTGGAATAATGTAGTTAACAATATATATAGTGTTTTGGTTAAACTAAATATGCACACCTTGATATATAGGCATGATTTAATTTCTCTGTGCTCTATAAGTTGTTCTTACATATATATAAGGAAAAGAAAGTGTTAAGAGAATTTTTCAGAAAGGCTGTGTCTCCAATGTCACAATTATCAATAATTATTAAAATGAGCCACTATGGAATTACCCTTGCATTTAGTTGTTTTCTAAAAGTGCAAAATGAACAAATATACAATAAACAATTCTTTGACATCTACTATCAACGAATCCTACCCAAATCATAAAAACGTCTTTCTAATGAGTGCTCAATTTAGTTTCTACAATTTCTCAAGGCAGTCTCATGATCTTTGGTTCTCCAAGTATATCTAGAGTTTTTTGAATATATGGTTGAGATCCTTGTACCTACTCCTCGTTCTGGTTTGGGTAAAGATCTGAAATGATATTAGTATTTTAAAAATAGATACATTTGCAAATAGAGGAGATTTTCAAAAGTTTTAGAAATGGATAATTTTTGTTCCCACTCATAGACAAAAGCTTGGGTGTTCACATGTTAATAGTATTTTAGGCCTAAAACAGATAATCTCCAGCCTTAAGTGAAAGAAGTAGACACACTGGAAACTCAAATTTTAGATTTCTGTTTCTGAGATACAGCCACCTCTAAAGGTGAGGGGATCTTTCTAATCATATGGGAAACTATTGCGATTTCTAAGTAAGAAAACTAAGTTAAACAAAGAGAAACAACTTCCTTAATACTTCAGTGATAGTTGAATTAAAATAATGTGTAACTCCTCATTACACATACCTGCTTTCATCAAGATGTTTCTTCATGCTTTTATGAACTTTTATTTGAGACAAAAAAAAGAATAGTGAAGTAGACACAGGATTGTGTAAAGAAACTCTAAGTGTTTTAATTTGCACATTTATGTATATAGGGAGTGTCTATAGAAGTGATGACCACAAAGTTCTGATTCTATACTATTTTCATATTTCCTTCATATTTGTGAGATTGATATTTCATCTTATATTTACATTTCTTCCTTTCTTTTACAAAATACACACTTGTCTGCCTTCATAGTCATACAAGCTCACCTTCCAAGGCACCTAGAAAGGTGGGAATTAGCATCCACCAGTAAAAACGTCACTCACCAAGAACTTCACTGTAAAACCGATCCCACTTCTTCATATTAAATGTTTGGAACCAAAAGTCAAAGTAAAGCACATATATCATATTTTTCACCCTCTCCATGAATGTCATACGATCACTTAATTCTGACAAAATAACAGGAACGTAGGAAGGAGGGAAGGGAAGTCCTCCACTGTGCTTCTCAAAGGAGTATCCAGGAGAGAAGCGCAGACTGTACACCAGGGGGGTTTTAAGTATCTCGGCCAGCAGCTCCCCACAGGGACTAACGGCATCTGCAAGAACAACATCAAATTTTGCATCCTGTAGCTTCTTCATGAGTTTCTTATTGAAAACTACATCTTCACAGAGCTTTTGAACACATTCAGAATATTTCCATGTGAGTTTTTCTACTTGTGAAAAATGTGTCCAAAATGAATCCTTTGGAATATCATATATCCATTCATTGACCATTTTGACAAAAAGACCCTCAAAGTCATCTTTTGTTAGAGATGTAGGATAAACTTCAAATTTAATAGCAGATGTTTTGCTGGGATCAACGAGAATGGAAGCTGAAGATGCCAGCACAGTCACCTCATGGCCTCTCTGGACAAGTTCATCCAGGATGGTCTTTATGTTGATCCAGTGGCTGTATTCCGTGGGCCACACCAGCACCTTTCCACACATTCCAGAGCTGAAGCAACAGCTCAGCTGTAGGAGAAGAAAAGCCGCAGTCCATTTCACAGCCATCCTGGTCAGAGAGATGACTCTTTTTCAGTTGTTTCTGTCTGACATTTCTTATTCTTATACCCCAGGATAAACCAATCAAGTTAAAGTTTAACTCATACACTTAAAAGTAAGTACATGACCTGAACAGTTGTTGGCTGGTGGACAAACCAAAGTTAGATGACCTCATACTTGCTCAAGTGTGTTTAATGTCCCTTTATGTTTATAATTTGTACAATGCTGCTAATTTTGATGACCTTGCATGTGCAAGTCGCCTGTCTTATGTAAGACACTTTATGTAGTGTCCGAAGTGTAGGCAAGTGATAGACTCCTGGGTCTGCAGTCCCTTGACATCAAAATGCAGTAATTACACAGCTGGTTAGTGTTTCTTGAATATCTGGTCAAAAACGTTTTTGTAAAACAAAACATGTTTCAATATTTATTGTATATGTAATATGATTGACTTATCACTGTTTAGAGTTCAATGTGTTTAGTACATTTGCAGAGCTGTGCCTCACTACTGCCAGCAGCCCTGTCTCCCTGAGAGAGGCCCTGTGCTCTGTAGCTGGTGCCTCCCTGCTCTGCATTTTTCTTCCCCCTACCCCAGGCAACACGAATCTAAAGTATGTGTCTATAGATTTGCTTTTATGGACAATTCGATAAATATAATCAGAAACATGTGGTCTTTCATGATGGGGATTTTCCACTTAGGTGAATGTTTACATACACAGTGTCCCTTATATTCAGATTTCATTCCTTTTTCTTTCCAACTAGCATTCCATTGTATGGATATAAACTTTGTGTTCATTCTCCAATTGATGGACATTGATTTTATTCCATTTTTGGCCTTTATGAAAATGTTGTTTATTAGCATCAAGTACAAGCTTTGTTGGACATATTTTAATTACTCTAGGTTGTCTTCCTTTACATTGGACTACTGGATCTTTTGTTTCCTGTATGTCCCTCCTTCGGAGGAATTGCTGGACTGGTTTCCATGTCAGCTGCACCATTTCCTATTCCCACCAGCAATGGATGAGGGTTCCAATTTTGTCACACTATGGCAAGCACTTCTTATTAGAGATCTTTCTATCATGGCCAGTGGCAGTGATGTGACACATGTCATTATATTTTACATTCCTCCTTATTTTCTAAAGGTGCTGAGCCTTTTTCTTGTGCTTATCAGCCACCATACATTGTTCTTAGCAGTATTTCTAATTATATCCTTGGCTTCATTTTGATTTGCTTACTTACTCTATTATTGAGCTGTAATTTTTAAAGTAATCAAAGCAAGATGACTAGGGTTCAGGAACCAGGACCCCAACCAGCATCAAAGCCACACACTGGGACTGGATTTTGGAGTAGTAAGGAGACTTTATTTCAGGGCACCAAGCAGGGAGGGCAGCCATCTGATGTTTAAAACCTAAAGTCGTTGATGGCTTCCAAGCCAGGGTTTGTAAGGCAAGAGTACACTTCAGGCTGGAAAATGGCTGCCCCAACCCCAAAAAGTGAGACCTGAGATTGGGGTAGGGGGAGGTTGGGACAGGCGTGCAACTGAGCTTGGGCTCTGCTTCTCCAGCTTGCAAAGGAAAAAGACAAGGATGAGGGTCAGGAAAGGACAGTGACATCATCCCAGAGTGGCAGTGGGGGAATGGCCAAGGGTTGCCTCACAGAAACCATTTTCAAGTCTTGCTCTGAGGGAAGGGTGGGCAAAAGGGACTTTGGTGGGAAGCATGTGAAGCAGTGGCAGGAGCTGCTGGTTAGCGTGACTCGTCCTGATGACGGTGCTGAACTGTTCCTTAGAGTGGGCCAATTCAGCTCCAAGGCTGTTATCTGCAGAGTAACTGTGTCCTCAAAATACTCTGCTGGTGGGGTGTTGATTTTTTCAAAACCCAGCCTCTGGACAAGCACATAACTAGTAAAAGGAAACTTGTGCAGGGGGTGGCCTGTGGGAACAAGCTCGATATTCACAGCAGGAAATGGGCAGGGACATCTCACCGTGTGGCACTGAGAAACAAAGCAGTGTCCAGAACTCTCCTCTGTCACCTTCACCCAAGGTCTTTGGAACATGGTCACACATCTGTTCTGACTACCCACTGCTGAAGGAAGGTGAAGGTAGGGACCCTGGGAATGGAATTGATTTGCTTAGATTGGGAGTAATGTTGAATGCTAGGGCTTAAGGGGTGACTTGCTAAAGTACAGTTGAGGGACTCAGGAACTTTTTGGAAAGTTTGTCCTGCCTGCCCATGCAGAAGGCACAGCGAAAGACAGTGGCAGTCCCTGTGATTATAGCTAGAGTTACAAGCAGTGTCCTCCACCAAGATGACACCAAGAGGAACTAGGACACAAGGCCTAGATCTAATGACAGTGTAGGGTGTGGCTTGGCTATAGTCTATTTGTGAAAATCTTTTCAGGCCTGGGAGACATGTCCTGAGTTGTCTGGAATAAGTGCACAATATTCAATTTGGATGACAGCTCAAGTTCCTCCCTGGGAAGCTGTTGGGTTATCTATGCCACACAGTTTTGTGATGTGGCTTTTTCTGGTGGGACATTTCAGCATGAATGAGGGACACGGGAAAGCTGTTCCTAAGTCTGCTGAAGAGGGCTTCTGCCTGCCAAGTTATGCTCTAGGCCTAGGGACAGGAGAGAGATTGAAGCTGCAGGATGGCACGTGTGGGAAGCAGACCTGGTCCACCTGAGAGCGGAGTGGACAGAGTAGCAGGCTCCTCTGTTTCCTCCGTTACTTGTCCTCTTTGTCCTTGCACCCACGGAAGGCCCAAAATGCAACGTCTATATATTCAGATGATGACCAAGTGCAGGACTTTGTGCCACATGGCCTTTGTCCCAGCAGGAGTGCACCAGTTCAGCCAGCTGTCCAGGGCCAGTCAGTGGCAGACAAGTCTATTTGCTGTAACATAATACCAAATACTGTGCAGTATTGTAATATAACAATACTGTAATAATATAATGTTGGCAGTGTTTGCAGAACAGCCAATGCCCCCAGGCTTTATTTGGCCACAAGTCATAGGCAGTATTTTGTTGTTCCCAGCACAAGGTGGTCCTCTGAATTAATTGTACTGTTGATTCTGTCATTGGGATAAATCCCCTTGGTCCTGGAGGAAACCGCCTTTAAAATGGGAGTTTTAGGAATTTTTAGCATGGATTTTCCAATTTGTGATTACCAAGGTAGTGGCTAGCCCTCAATCCCCATTTTGGATACCAAATTATTTTCCCATGTCCAGCGTCACTGAGGGTTTTGCTTATAGACCATAAGGTGCTGTACTGTCTCCTCTATCACGGACTTCTCATATAAGGTCTCTTAAGAAAACTTGTGGATATTGTAAATCTTTCCCTGATGTATGAGATACTCACCAGGGTAGACTAGAGGTGCTAGAGAGAGGTAAATGGCCAACCCAGCAAGAGCATCTCTGTAACCAGCTCTCACTGCTGTATCCACAGTAAGAATAGCTTAGTAGTGACCACAACAGGTGGAAGGAACAGGCTTCAGGCTGGAGGGTGAGCAGGGCTTGCATCTTCTAGGAAAATATCAGAGCAAACACTACTTATCTAACAGGGTATTTGGGCAATAACTTGAAACCTTTCTTTGGTTCAGATGACCAAGCAGGTGGTTCTGCATAATGGATGCAAGGTTTACCTCTGAGACTTAGACTAATAAATAAGTGGTCCCAGGCCATCATAGGGGCCAGTGAACTTCTCTGTCCTGTGGTCTTCTCAGGTTTGGGAGCACCTTGTTCCCTGGATGAAGGAGGGAAACGATTGGTGAAGGTATCATTTCCCTGGTGAGACAAGCAGACCTGGAGGGAGCAAAGCGGTGCAGAGCTAGTCACAACTGCTCAGTTGTCCATCCTGGCCAATGCCGGAGCCACGTGAGAAGCCAAAGTCTAGAATTCCTGGCAAAGGGGTTGGAAGTGTCTCTCATGTACAATTTCAAAGGGCTCAATACTAGTTCACTGTGGTTTGCTGCCCTGACTCATGAATAAAATTCACCCCAACTCAGATCTGCCTCCTTCAGAGGTTTGCTGCTGCTTTCTCTGAAGTGTGGTTCATTTTTTTCTTTTCCTGTTGACTCTCGTCTCTGAGAGGAGTCCAGTTTCCATTTGATCTTCAGTGCTACAGTTACCATTTTATTGATTTCTGAAATAAAGGAAGGGTTTGTCATTTGTGTGGAGGTTGGAAGTCTGGGTCTGGGAATTATTTTCTTTAGTAAAACCTTGTTCACTTCTGTGAGTTTTCCAGATGTGGTGGAATATGGCTGGAGCTGTTCTGAAAGGGTATCACTGTGCACCAGGAGGACCTGTGGTTTCCAGCAGCCTTGGCCACTGGGGTGAAGTTCACTTGACAGTCTTAGAAAGGATGCAGCCCTTTGCATGTTACCTCCATGTTAGGAGGGTCACGTCTGTCTTGGTTTTATTTTTTAGCACATAGAGAGCGCCTCTGTGATGTTCTGAATGTCTTTTGAAGGTGGGGCCAGACATGTGGTTGCACCAGGTCTGTAAGTCTTCTCTTCCACATCATGTTCCTCCATGGATATGTATGGAATTGGGTGGACCAAGGCTTGGTTTGGGGCAGCATGACCATCCCACAGGCATCAGTCTTCCAGAAGAAGCTGGAATCTATCTACCCGAATCCGCCATCTTGGGCCTGTTTTTCATCTTGCCTGATGTAATGAGGTTTAAAGTCTAATAAATCTACATGGGTCATGATGGCCTCTGGGCCTCTCCCATAACCATTTTTCAGCTTTATCTGCTGCTGGTCACTTTCAGTGACTGATGAGTCATCTTTGTGTCCAGGGCATTTGGTTGGACAACCACTTCTAGCAGGACCAGAATTTACTCTTGGTGTTTAATGTCCTTATTCCCAGTTGTCAAGAGGCCTCTTTTCTTCCAACTGGCTCCATGGACATGTTCCACCATGAAGGCTTATTTAGGGTCAATGTACTTTTCCACTTGTCTTCCCTAGGATGGGTTTGGAGCCCTGGTACATGTAAGAGGAAGTAAAAGCTGAACAAAATTTTACATGACATGGCAGACTTTTGGAGGATGTCTCTTCACAG